TTTTAAATAGAAGTTTCATAAAGTGACAATTTCTTAAAATAAACTCTTCTTAAAATGAAAATTTCATAAAATTGGGAATCTAAAATAGAAGTTTCGTATGATAGGAATTCTTGAAATAGTGGTTTCTAAAATGGAATTTTCTTAAAAAAATTTAAAGATGGGAACTTCTTAAATTTGGAGTGAGTTTGTATTATTGTTTTAATTTTCATTACTCTGAATAAAACTCAACTTATTGACTTTCAGGTGAGGAGGGGATCACAAGTGGACTGCTTAAATACCAAACTCTTCTTAAATAGTTTAAATCTTTTTGACAAATTCTTTCAGTTTTGCAAATACAGGACACAAAAAAGGGGGTCGGGCGGGAATAAAAGTATTTAGGGGTATATTTTTTTCTAATCTGACTCTACTATCTAATTTAGAGATGTTCTAAGGTCAACCCCTTTTTATAATTAAGTATAGTTCTGACATAATATCATTCATGTTCATGCCTATTCACATAACATTAAATAATTATGAATTGCCATATTTCTACCTAATTTGAGGAAATCAAACCTTGGAACTTAGTGTCACGTAATAGTGGTCTAAGAAACATTAAGAATGTGTTTAATTGGCATGAAAAATATTATTTAGAAAAAAAAATGTTTTCCTTCTTTTGTGGAAAATAAAAACCACCTCCACTCAAAGAAAATTAGGCAAATTTTCAAAAGTTGAAAAATGTTTTACATGGAAAAAATTAGCAATCAAACACCTCAAGTAGGAATTTGGATGGAAAACTGATATTTTTCATGGAAAATAAATGTAATCAAACACACCTTAAGGAACCGTTTGATTGTAAAGATAGAATTTGGATAGAAAGAATACGAATTGAAGTGAATTGAATTGAATTGCTTAGAATTTGTTTGAGTGGGAATTGTCGATTAATAGTGTTTGATTGATATAATTTTTCACCTGAAAATTGTTAAAATAAAAGTGTCTTTTGATATTCGTTTGACTTTGTGTTTCATGAAAATTGTCGATTTAAGAGATATCGACTTTTACAATTGTTTTTAGAATTTGTTTCTATTGCAAAAAAATAAAAATAAAAAATAATAAGAATAATAATAATCCAAAAATCATCAATATTTTGATGTTCGTTTGATTTTATTTTATATGAAAATTATCAATTTAAGGGATATCATCTTTTTACAATTGTTCCTAAAATTTGTTTCCATTGCCAAAAATAAAAAATAAAAAACAAAAAAAAGGGTGAAAAATATAAAACCACCTACCCATGGAAAAATGAATTCCCCTGTAAACAAGAATTGGTGATTGTGTGAAGCAAAGGTGGAAATTGAATTGGTGGTGAATTCCCCTGTAAACAAGAATTGGTGATTGTGTGAGGCAAAGGTGGAAATTGAATTGGTGGGAAAATTTGGCTATCAAACAGGCCAAAAGTGGAAATGGAATTTATTTTCTATTTTTTGTGAAAAAAATTGGGTTATCAAACATAGCCTAAAGCTCTATTTTTTTTTAAATAATAATAATAATAACGTAATCCTAAATTTAACCTTTAAAATTTTAAACATGAACAATAACTCATAATTTTTTTAAGTGTCTACAAAAATGTAGACCTGTTTTGTTACCATGTTGTAACAAATCAAGAAATTTTCTTTGGATCATTAGAACATATCGTAAAATAATTTTTTTATAAAATATAATTGTTCTTTAACTTAAAATAATAATAATAAAAAACAAATACTTAATCATAAACATTAAATTATTATTCGAGAATTATAATCATTTTTTCTTTATTATACCACTAGAGACTCGTTCCAAACTTTAACGCCTTGAACATCAATTCATAATCAATTCATAGACACCGAGATAAAATCCAAATAAGTAAGCCACATAAATCGTAGTTCATATTTAAAATTCAAGAATTTTTATCGTACATAAGGAGACACGAGGATTAAAAATCGAACTTAGTTGGCCATAATCTCTGTGCATAATCATAATTTTTGTACGTAGTGCTACTAAACTACGATCCTTTGAACTTAAAATATAGGACCCAAATCATATTCATAACTTGGAATTCCTTATTTTAAAGTATGAAAGACGATTTAACATACAATATATGACTCAAAGTAAATATAATCAATGTTTGTTAATCAGATTTAATATAGTAATTTATTTTATAACCTCAAAAACTAACAATTAATATGTCAAAAATAATTTGTTTTATTCAAATTAAAAATTATAATCTTATTGGGGTTTATGATCTATTAGTGTTAATAAAAGTAATGAAGTAAATTAGTAAACATTTGGAAAGTTAGAATTGACAATTGACTATTATCCTACACTGGAAGATTACCACCATATTGGAAGAAGAATCACCTTTAAAAAGGAGTTAGTATCCCACATCAAAAGAGTACTAAAACATTGAAAGAATGATCTCATTTAAAAATGAGGTAAAGGAGAATCACTTGTCTAAAAAAGTTATATGAGCCTTCAATTGCAGTGGATGACTCATTAAGGTAGTTAAAAGTTTTTGTGAAAAAAATAATAATTAAATCACCCTGCAAAAACCATGGTTGGTTTAAGCCGGGTTGATGGTTTATTAGCTGGTTCTTTATTTTTCGGTTAATATATGAGTATCGGACCGGATAAAAGGTTGGTTCACGAGTTTCTCGGTTGAACCGATTGGTTTTGTCCGATTTATGTAACATTGATTATCTTTCATATATATGAAAGTTTACTTGATTTCCATAATCAATAATATTATATACATATATAGACGCACGTAATTGTAGTAATCATATAACCCTTGTTTCAGCCACATTATTTGAATGAAAATAAGTTTTTAAATAGTGTATTGATGAGAAATGTATGGTTAAAAAATAAGAAAAAAATTTGGATTTGCCTATAATATTATTTTACTGAAAATGTGTGATTTTAATGATGTTAAATCACTATAAAAGAATGTATTTTTCCAAAAAAAATGTGGCTCAAAAAAGGCCTAATTTAAATCAATCAGTCATAATTATATATAATTATATTCATATGTAGATGTACGAAGGGGGCGAATCTGGGAATTTGAGTCAGCATGGACGGTCGTTGACTGTCTACCATCGATCATAATAAAATATTAAGAGTCGTTTGATACCCATTTTTTGCAAAAAATAAAAAATAAAAAATGCATTTTATAATAGTGATTTGATAGAGAATGCGTGACTAAAAAAATATTGAATATGCGTGTATTATTATTTTATTGAAGAATATGTAGTTGAAAAAAAATAGATAAAAAATGTATTTGAAAAAAAAAATAGAAATCAAATAATGCATAAAGTTTAAATATTAACAATCATTTTGTTCAAATTGAACATATATAATTATATTATAAAAATAAACGAACTCATCAAATGACATTGTTACCAATTTTTGTATAAAAGAAGAGCACAAATTCAGATCTTTACAATTGTACTCGCATTACAACAAATAGAACCCGACAAATATTATTTTGTCAAATTTATTGCCAATATGCAATGGATGTCATAATGGTCAAGTTATAATACCTTTAACAAGAGGTCGTTCAAATCTTGTTTGGTCCCCCACCCTGTTGAATTTTGGCAAAAATTGTAAAATTTAACTAATATTGCACGATGAGTTTGCTGGTAAAAAAATTCAAATTCGAGACCTGCACTATATACATTCAAGTTTTGGCCAAGTGAGCCACAATAAGTACTTGAAAATAAATTGAATACCAACAATATAACATAAAACTTTAATCTATTGCCAACAGAAAAAATAATTCCCAACGAATCTAGCTAGGGCGGCCACCCTAGCTCACTACCACCTAAATCCGCCACTGGATATACGTAATTATAGTATCATATCATTAAATCAATCAATCATAATTATATACATAATTATATCAATACATATATACCATAAATATCGATATCATGAATATATGGTTTAAGAAATTGCACTTGTAGTCCCTCTACTATTGGTCGATGTGCAATTTGGTCCTCTAACTTTCATGCTTTTAAACTAAAGTCCTACTTTTCATAATTAACGATCATAAAACATTTGGGGGGCATTATACAACCACTTGTCAAATGTCGATATGATGAAATCTTCATATAATAACAATATAAACTGGTCAGTTCTGTTATTTTATGTCTCCTATATATGCATGTTTTATGCCTCATTGTCAAGTGTTGGGATGAACAAATGAGTCAAATGATCCAAGAGCTCAAGTCTGACAAGTCTTGTAGGGTAAGGTTGGATTTAGGTTCCAACAGTGTCAAGTTAAAAAGGGAAAACGTGCTTGTTTGAAGCATTTAAACACAATGGTTGAATTCCTCGAACTTTGATATATATCTTTAGATTCTGTCGCCATCAAAAGAACGTGAACCTCCAATCATGTCAATGGATGCGAATCGACGTGTGCTTTGCGTAGAATGGCCACTTGAACCCCTTATATTTACACATGGCAATCATCCAAGCTATCCAAGAACTACAACGTATGAAGTAGCCACGATCAAATGCCGAGGTCGTTACACTAAGATCAGTCGAGGTGGTCATACCCTTGCTCATCGCTTATTGCCGAATTCCATGAAATATTTGAGGCCCTTGACAAGTTCAACTAGGACGTCTTCGGAACTAATTGATGCAACGTGTCCATTTATTAAGTGTCAGAAAAGTCAGCATAGATTTGTAGGATATTTGACCTCTTGTCAAGAGTCTGTCAATGTAATTAATATAAAGTAAAGTTGATGTGACATCAAGAGTCTCGAATCAAGCCACATGGCTTGGATCTAACAGTGACCACGTCAGCCCGATCACCATAAATAGACAATTTTTGTATCATTTAAGAGATGGATCTATGAATGAAAAAGAGAGCATAATACATCTTCCCCTTGTCTCTATCTTCTTCTTCCCCAAACATTCGTATTCACAGTAAAAACGCTGCATAAAGGTCCACATGTACTTTTCAGAGGTCAACATATTCATCGTAGATAACAATGTTAATTTTAGAATAGAAATCATTGCCTTGTGAACACGAGGTTTTTTTTTTAGTACTTTTATTCCCCTGATTTTGCTTTTGCTTCTTGTTATTGAATTTGTAAGAGTTGCCGTAGTTTATTGGTACAATTCTCAGTTCTTCCCTCAACTTTGGGGATACGGTACAAAACACAATAATCCGCCTAAAATTATTGACATCGGCAAGTAAAGCCGCTGCTCCACTTCGTAAAAACTTTATCGTTCTTCAAGCAGCATGAAATCTTGGGAGCTACTTCTGTCCAGTTCATGCTTCTCGACAAAACTGACTGAATTCATAACTCCGATTCCTTACTGCTTCGCCTGTCAAATGCAAAAAATTATAAGTCAAGTGTAACGAGAAAACCATTTTGTTCGAACCATATATCTTTGAATCATGTTGTTCACAAGACTAGCAATGTTGACAGAATCTAAGTTGCATCCAAACATTGCTCTTTTCAGAAGTTCGTTAAGTTAAAAGGCAAGAAATCTTGCAGTGTCGACAGAATCAAAGTTGTGTTGAGTGCAGAAATAAGCAGTTTCCAGCCACGGTATTGAGAAAAAAGTCGACTCAGGAGAAGCTAGCAAATTACCTGTGAATACAAGAAAGTTCCAAGAATGGCAATGGCGGCTCCAAGACCATTGATGGGTTTTACTGGTGTATGAAAAATGATGATAGACGAGACAATGACAGAAATACGTTTCATCGTGTTTCCAATGCTAAACGTCAATGGAGAAATCTCATCGAGTGACATGTATGACACCTGATTGTATAGATGGTAGAACACACTCTGGGCCGCCATCCACCTGTTTTATACAAAATTCGACAAAGTAACCATCAATGAAATCAAAACTCCAAATCTTGGCAAAAAGGCAAAAAGAAACAAAATTTAGTACTAAGTGAACCCAAACATCGACAACGAAAAACCTGAAGAATATCTAAAACTACACAAAAGAGTTTTGCCCGCATCAATTTTGATTAACGGATCATATAATAATAGTGAGGTTATCATGTGATTACCAAATGATCTGGGGTCCGATTTGAGATAGCGCTTCTTTAAATCCGAGAGCCCAAATGAATGGTCCCTCGATAGCAATTGCAAATGGAGTGAGAATCAAGAGAGAGAGCATAGATAAGCAAGCATAATAGTTCATTCCACTGACAGATTTGCCCTTCATGCCCCTCTTGGAAAATATGTTCCGGAAAACAAACGCCAAATTCGATATCATGGCCCCCATAAAACCTGATGTGAACAGCCAACAAACATAGGAATATATGCATTAGAAAACAACATGAATAGTGGTAATCTCCATTCAATGTCCCTGCAACTTTATTCAATTATCAAAAATACCAGAAAATGCCAACCCGAGTCACATACATCATGCAACTCAATGAAGAATTTACAATAAAAGAAATAAAAAAGACGAGTTCATGCTTAAAATTAAACTATATATTACACTGACATGAAAGACAAATGCATATAGTACTTGTCTAAAAAGTGTGACCAACACGATACATGTCGGACATAGACACGGACATGTCACACCAATGTCATAGCTCCATTCTACTAGAATGGATAAGATTAAACAAAGCTCGATAAGATCACAAAAGTGAAGATTCCACACGAAGATCAACAAATTACCAGTCATGTTGAAGTTGAGCTCGGTGAGGGCCGCAAGACCACAACCACCAATGATTGGAATGAGGGACAAGTAAACAGATGGTGGAAATGTCTCTCCCAAGATAAATCTCGACACCAAAACACTGAAAGCGGGTTCACCACTCTTGACTATGTGAGTAAATGATACAGCCACCTTTGACATACTCACAGTAGCTGCAACATGCCCAATTGTATGTGCAACTGCAACCTAAACACAGCCAACCCAACATCAACATCAATCAAATCTTTCTATAGAATATATACAAGGAAAAAACATGTTTCGGTAGATCTAAATTGCAAAAACACAGATGGCATATTCGGTAGTAGACTGACGGTATAAACGGAGAAAAAGAAACAAAGCATTCTGTCCATTGTGCTGTCAAGTCCATGTCCAGAAGTTCAAAAACCCCAGAAAGGTAATTGGTAAGGAAAAGTCAGCAGTTAATGAAGAAAAAACTAATTTTTTCTCTGTAGTATGATACAGGACATGGTTCCATGACCAAATGTTCAAAAATCTAGACAAATAGTTAGTGAGGACTTCACATTGTTGATGAAGAAAAAGAAACTAAAATTTAGTCCATTGTACCGTCCATTTCCCATCCAGAAGTTCAAAATCCTAAAAAACCATGATACGGTGGACTCGACACTATTATCGTAGAAAAAGAACCAAGCTTTTTTAGGCATTGCACCGTTTAGAAGTTCAAAATTCTTGAAAATAACTGGTTAAATGGCCTCTACACTATAAAATCAGAAGCAAGAACTATAATTTTGTTCATTGTACTGTCAAATCATGATCATGAGTTACCACCAAAAAAAAAAAAAATCTAACCAAAGAAATGGTAAGTTGAACTCTTTATCAATAAAGAAAAAGAAACTGAAATTTTGTCGGCCGAGTTCGCATCCAGAATGTATAATTGGTGGACTCGACGCGAACTAAAATGTTGTCAATTATACCCCTGTCCAGAAGATCAAAAACCCTGAAAAATAATTATACGAATGGAAGTGAAACACACACACACACACACACACATATATATATATATATATAACAGACAGTAAAACTGCAAGAGAAGCAAGACCCAGATCTTGTAAAACCGTAATTTTTCTTACAGGAAAAAGGGTCTTCCAAAAATCAAGATCAGTTTTTGGGGTTTCAGCAATCCTCAGAGCCCAGGAAATGAGCATGATCAATGATCCAGCAGCCAGCGAAAGCGTTGAAGTTAACCATGGAAATGGAAAAGCATTCAAAACTTTCTTGTTATATATATTAAAGATCACATTCAAAGCCCACCACGTTGCGAAATAAATCCCGATCTTAACTCTCCTCGCCGCCTCGGATTTCGCCACCGGCGACTCGCTGATCGGCTCCGATTTTTCAGCTTCATATGCTTTACACGTGATCAAAGACTGCTCCTTTTCGTGTTTTAAAGATTTCTTAAAAGAAGTGGAGAAAGGTTCTGGTGAAACGATGTGGAGAGGTTTAGAAAAGGAAACAATGGAGTTCCGGCCATTATTGGCCGATAGGAGGAACTGCAGGTGGCGAGTAGGCGCCGGCACCAGAGATCTTGACCGGGGAATATAATGGCCGTTGGATGCTAAAGTAGGCTGCTTAAGAGAGGAGATCATAGTAGTAAGAAATAATCTTGAGACTTGAGCGTGTACAAAATAGAATTTGGAGATGAAGAAGGAATTTGACTAAAATAGATTTCTAAATCTATTAGAGATTTCTTTATACGTAGATGTTGAATATAGACAGGAATTTTGTTACTTAGAGAAAAATGTAAACTTTTGGTTGTGCCAAAGCCAAATGGACAGGCAGAAGCTAGTTATTTGAGAAGAGTCTGAACAGCCGTGTATATATCGAATCTGAAAATTCAAAATTATTTGGAGATCGTAGTAAAATTATAAATATAGAGAGGAAGAAGGGTCTTCGCCATTTGGTCCTGTTTACCGTTTTTATATATACAAAAGGGGAGAGATTTGTTTGTTTCAAAATGTGGAAATACAGTTGCTGACTGGTGGTTTGTTGACAGGAAGATTCAAGATTTTGAATAAAGAAGAGGAAGCGAAAAGGGACAAGTTTTGTTCCTAGTAAGTAGTAGGGTGGCAAAACCGAAATCACACAGTTTAACACCGAGAATAAATATGGTTTACCTTTAAAAGTGACCGGTTCATCTTCAATTTATTTATCTAATATTTTTATTATTTATTCTATCATTAACCAATTTGCATTTTACGAGTCAAAATTTGTATCCATTTTAAAACACTACAAATTCTTAAAGTTAATAATTTTTTATTTATAAATAAATTCACAAAATGTAATAGATTTTGAAATTTGTTATGCCACTCAGGTCTTTGAATTGACATATTGATATTCATTTTTGTCAAGATGCATTTTTCAACCACATACTTTTTATTAAAATAATATTACACGTAAATTAAAAAATTTTCTTTATTTTTCAACCACACATTTCACATCAATTTACTATTCTAAAATGCATTTTTACATAAAAATGACTCTCAAATACCTCCATAATTTTTAGAATATGATACGGAAGAATTATGGCATACATATGCAAATATAATCTTGTCACGTTCTTTGATTTAGGAGTTTTGTATTATTTTCAATGAATGCCAACTATTAAGAATACTTACTAATTTGTTTGATTTCTGCAAGAAATACAATTGCACCACTTACCACAAGAGGTTAACGTTACTTTTAATTTGTCCATTTCAAATACTAAAATAATTTACCGTGTAATTTGATAAGAGACTCTCAAATACTAAAATAATTAGTGTTAGAATTTCTCCAAAAATAGCATGTTTTGCACCTTGGATTGTGTGTATTGATTAATTAATTATTCAATCAATATCTATTTGTTAATTAATATTTAATAGTAGTTCGCTTTTTGAAATGGCATATTCCGAGCATTATGATGAGATGCCACTTTAAAATTGTTCCACCTACTCTAATCTATCAAATTATAATAGAAAATAAGAGGAATTTGCAAAAATGTTCAATTTTATATATCTCAATTCAAAAATATCAACTTTTAATAATCTTTACAAAAATGATCAAATTTGGCATCAAATTCTTCATTTTACCCTTAATGAAAGAATAAATAATTCAACTTTTCTTTTACAAGTTGACACTAATATCGATAAGAGAAATGACTTCCATGGGAAGCCACAATAATTGTTGCTATTACCCATGCTCGTCCACTTGCCTGCACTTTTCTTTAGATATTAACAAATTATTTTTGAAAAATTCAAAAACATAAAATAGCAAACATTAACAACCAGAAAAAAATCTATGGTTTGTACTCCAAAAGAAAAAATAATTTGTTTATAGCGATAAATTTAATATCATACAAATTTGAATTCGAGTAGGCTCTCCTCATTTCTGGGCAGAAGATATTTTTCTGTGTTATTTGATATTTATTGAGAAGTAGTTTGTCGTAGTTGTCGTTATATATTTGATTTCAATATGGTAGACTGTCAAAATAAGTAGTAGATATTTGTCATAATCTTCTTACATTTCTTAGTTACATAATAATTGAAGGTACTCCTGTAATTTAAATGTCATTAATTGTAGCATAAATTCTTTACAAAAATAGTAGTTGAAGATGATAAATGCATATGGTGAAGTGGATCTGTCATGTCACTCTCGTCGAGAATTGTACTTGAAATGTTGTTTTCTACAATTACAAGCGTCGAGAATGTTACTTTTAACGTCATTCTCGTCATTTAACAATGTCGAGAGTAACATTACAAATACCACGACGAAATTAGGGAACATTTTTTGTATATTGCTTGCGGATAATTAGCATATTCGTTTGAAGTATTCGTAATTAGTTGATACTATTTTTTTGTTTATGGCATGCAGATATGATTGATGTTATAAGATTTGTCGTCTCCTATGGTGGTACATTTGTCAACATTGACGACGAGTGGAAGTGGTTAGGCAATCGAACAGCATCAATTGTTGTCCGACGTCATATTGAATATGAAGAGCTTGCATATAAATTATTTGAGAAGCTTAATATTGACAGACTGCAGTTTCGGATTCAACTAAAATTTAAAGTTCCAAACATGAACGTATCCCTTGCTGATGTAGCCGACGATGAGGCTTTGTAATGATACTTTTTTGTTCACACACAAGCAATTTTGTGTGTAACTGCAGATGAATATGATGCTGGAGAGCAAGAACCACATGTCAGGGATGGCACGTCCTTTCCAATAGAAGATGCATGCGATGTAGTCAGTGTGTACGAACTACAAGAGTCAAAAATGATTGATAATAAGGGTGTAGGTTTAGGTAAATAGAATTTGTATATTGAAAATACAATTCAGTCGATCAATCAACAAGAAATTCACGAGAATCAGATTTTCTTTACCAGGAAACAGCTGCACACAAGACTTCGACTAAATGCTTTGACAGAGAAGTTTTATTTCAAGGTTAAAAAGTTTAATCTCAAATCTCTTACTGTGTGCTGCATCGACATCACGTGCCATTAGCTATTGCGAGCCTCCAAGATAAAAAGTACGGACTTCTTTAAAATTCGAAGGTACATACCTGACCATACATGTTCTTTGTATGTTCGGCGGAATGTGCGAATTCATGCAACGAGTGCACTGATTGGGCATCACATTACCAGACGATTGGTCGATGGAAACCAACCATACATTCCCGTGGGCATTGTCGGGGATATACAACATGAGTTCGATGTACGAATTAGCTACAGTAAAGCGTGGTGGGGTAAAGAGAAGGGACTTTGAATTCTTCACGATTCACCTGAAGAGAATTATCAAAAATTGCTTTCATACTGTTACATGTTAATTGAACGAAACCCAGGAACCATCGTACACATTGAGCTCGACCCTAATAACAGGTTCTTCTACTTTTTCTTAGCATTCGGGCCGAGCATACATGATTTTCGAGAGGACATGAGGTCGGTAATTTGCATTGACAGGAGTCATTTGAAGCGTCAGTATAAGGGAACACTATTAGTAGCTGCAGCGCAAGATGCCAACATACAAATATATCCTATTGCTTGGGGTGTTGTCGATGGGAAAACAAATGCATCCTGGTATTGGTTCTTCACAAAGTTGAAAGATATTGTTGATGATTCAAATTAGCTAGTGTTTGTATCCGACAGGAAGAACAGCATCAAGTGAGCAATTACAATGTTTTTCCCGCTTTTGCACCACGGTGCCTGCATATGACATATCGAGAAAAATCTCATTGCTAGGTATAGCAGTCGAAATGTCATATTCCTTTTCAAAAGTGCAGCATTCGCATACTGCGTATCAGAATTCCAGCAAATGATGAGACAAATTCAGACCATTCGGCCAGCAGTTGCATCTTATTTGGAACGTGCTAGTCCATCTACTTGGTCATGGGCAAATTTTGTCGGTAATCGGTACAATATCATGACTAATAATATTGCAGAGTCATTGAATTCAGTCCTTAGGCGGCAACGAAGTTTCCCTATAACCTCGTTCGTCCAACACATTATGACATTGATGCAACAATGGTTTTTCGAGTGGAGAAACACATCTACCAACTGTCATATTGCCCTGACATAAAAAATGGAGGGGAAATTGAGACAATCTTTTGACACTGGTGCAACCTTAGATATATGAAATTTGGATGAACTCGTTTTCGAGGTTGGCACATGTACAGAAATGTGTACTGTCGACCTTGTAGGTAACACATGTTCATGTCGAGAGTTTCAGATGCGACAAATTTCATGTGTACATGCGTCTCGCGCTACGTGCTCAAAAGGTATATCACTGTACGATTTGTGCTCCCGTTACTACACCACGAAGTGTTAGCAAGCTTCCTACACCAAACTTCTTTACCCCGTTGGAATGGAGTTAGATTGGGTTGTTCCCGATACTATTAGTTCCATCAACATTTTGCCTCCAAATATACGTATAGCACCAGGTCGCCCTCCTACCCAACGTAGAAGGTCAATAACTGAACGATCTACCAGCACTCGAAAATGTGGCCAATGTGGTGATTCCGGACACAACAGGCAAACATGTAGGACTCGACATAGAGAAGTAACACGTGCACTTGAATTACCAGTTTATTTTTTGTATGAAATCATTTGCTAACATGGACTATCCATGTGTTCAATAGATTTTTGTACATTTCATGGTTTCTATCATTTTCTTTCCAAATGTAATTGGTAGGGTTCGATTTTGTGTACGAAATGATTCGCTAACATATATTATCTACGTGTTGAACAGATTTATGAGCATTACATGCTTTCTATCATTTCGTTTCTGAATGTTATCGGTAGTGTTCGATTTTATTACCACGTAATTTCATGAAGACAAAAGTTAATAACTATTTCAGTACTACAATTTTCTTCATTATTATATACACAACTTGGTAATGGATACAAAAGAAAGCCATGCATGACTCGTTTTCTTATGTCACTGGCCATACTAAATAGTCGTCACAACAAAAGTAGAAAATCACTATGTGCATATTCGAGGTCACTGCACATACAAATTGGTCATCACCACAAAAATTATCCATTATCTATATACCTATAAATATGTCATTAGATATGCTTAGACATTATAGATATACGATCAAACCTTCTACATGTCCTCCACAACGGACAAAGAGGACATAACACTGTCATTGTCATCGTCGTCGTCCGAGCTTATCACTATCACGTCATCATTTCTGATCGGAATCACCTCGGAATTGTCATCCACCAAAGCTTGGTCTGCTTCCTGTGGGACCTCCATTGGTACGTTCTCACGATTGACATTATGATTACCATCGCCAACATGCAGCGGCTCCATTTCATTGATTAGATTAGGGAACGGAATGGGGTGCAGGCAAACCCTACGACGGCGGTTCGTTGCTTGAGGAATATATGGAACAATGACATTGATTTCTTCGTCATCTTTTGAGTCGATGATGATGGGGTTGGCCGCTGAAGAGTCGGGTACGGATACATTCATGACAACATCAATATGTGGAGTCCATTCAGTTGATGAAGACTATTCACCGAAAGAACTTGTTCGCGTTAATATTTTGTTCAAAGATACATGCTTGCA